GACGAAGGTCTTCCAAACACCCTTTACATTTTCACAATCTGAAAGCGACCTCTAAAATCCGTCCCGCTAGAAGCCAGATGCCGTCGCTGGCATCCAATTATTGGGCTAGCTTAACGAATATGGATATTTGCTAAGCTTAGTCTAGCAGCCGTGCGTCGACCGCGCCCAGGGACATTTAGTACGTTCCAAAGGCAGCGTCCAGTCAATCCGAGCATGGTGAGCTTAAGAGGTGTTGCAATAACGGGTCCTTTAGGCAAGCAAACGTTCAGTCCTCTCTGCATAGGAAAATCCCCATTCTTATATTACATACAGTTTCAATCCCCAATTCGACTATCATGCGTTCGTCTCAGCCAGCGAGCTGAATTAGAAGAAGCGATAGCGATGAACTGCATAGCCACTGAACTGATAATCGCAGTCCTCTTTCTAAATGAGGATTATCGTGCTTGCTGCCTACTGGGTAATGGTGATAAACTGGGTAATGGTGATCTTGACACAGGACTACAAATCTGTGCCGAGTTTCGGAATGTCAACATGGGTTCCGTCTATTGAGAACTGACTATCCAGCAATTCTGTGCAACTACAACACGATTCCATCGCAAAGCGGGATGATGTATCGCGACAGTAGACAAAGTGCGACTTATGAGGGAGCCAGTCAGATACTTTGGCTACTATATACACGAGAACTGGGATGCACCAAAAGAATCCCCAGCGTGTATTAGAAACGACCTGTTGCGAGCTCTCTGATCAATCGCCTACGCCGTTATCAACATTTATCCGACAGATAATCTTGCTCAGAAGCTGTATCTACTTCTTCTAATTGCTATCTGGAATACATCGAAGGAGCATTCCTGATCGCCATAAGCGAAGGATTAGTACAGCGTCCACCAAGTTTCAAATGGTCACGTCTTCAAGAATCCTTACGAAGCAGTCGACTCATCTGTACAAGCACTATTCCTGAAGCATAACAAGCTTTTTATAGATCTCCATTTTCGCAAGGAACAAAGGGATCCATTATTCTATTATATACTAACTGGGATGCCCGGCTCCGCTCGGGTCCCTGAGCATAATCATTAGAACTCACCACTTCGTCGCTTTTCCACTAAGTTTGAGTTTTTCAAATTGGCTTCTTGCCAGCATGCTTCCTCCTAAGCAGCAAATATCACCCTCTTACACATACCTTCGCTTACCGTACCGCCTATCGAGGATCCACTTCAACCGATAGTGGATCCAATAGAGTGTC